TCTCCTATTCTGATTTCTGCTTCCTGTCTTGCCAGCCCTGTGCTGCCTGATTCCTCCCTGATCTGTCATGTGCCACACACCGAAGCTGCCTGTGCCACTTGTGGCAGTCATGCTGCAGCTTGGCCATCCCCGTCATCAATGACATCAATATAATTTTGAGAGTAGAATTGGATAGTTAATGGCTGCTGTGCACTCCAAATGCATCATGCTAGGCCCAGCAGCATGAAATGACTAGCACTTCTTAGGGAGTGATGTATGCCCCCAGGTACCATGGGTAGTGTATAGTAATTAAGTAGTTGCCCTTAATATAGTTTGGGAGCCCTCTGCTGGTCCACTCTATCTTGTACTACAAAAACCATCAGAACCCTGATAAAATATTAGCTATGTATATAGATAATCATGTCCTCCAGGTTTATGGATTGTTATTAAACATTTGTTTGGAATTGAAATCCCCTAGTGTAGTTCCCCCAGCACAGTGGTTCTCAGACTTTTTAGACTGAGGGTACCCCTCAGAAAATGCCAGCTCTTAGCTTTCACTTGTTTCTTGACTAGAGAAAAATAATAGCGCAATTCTCCTGTTGCAAAGAACTCAGAAAGACCACAACAGGGCCCAGTGTTTGTAAAATTATGGATTCTTATTTGAAAAATGTGGGTTTATCTTTTGAATCATGTGCAACTGTTTGCCCAGGTAACAGTGCTATTTTTGCATAGCGCTTGGTGATCCATAAAAGGATCATACAGCACTCTGGTGGAGGATCACAACCTAGCTTCTTACTCTTGGGTAGAAAACAGTGACACAGAACTACCAGTCACCTCACTATGTATGTATAAATGGCAACTGTGAATTTTGACGGGCAGAGGTTAAATGGGACGTTTTAAATGGTCACCCCAGCTTCACTGTATTTTCAAATGAGAATTACATCCAGCGAGCTGATGTCTCACTTGGCGTAATTTTGTTGTCTCACAAGACAGATAGATGTCTACTAGTACAAAGAAGCCAGAGTGTAATAATTGCCTATGCACCTCAGTTGCATCAATAGGCACTTTTACATGTGCTCCAGGGGTGAGTAGGGCAGCGCTTTAATTAGAGTGGCTCAAAGTGCCGCTGCATCTCATGTATCAGCATTCCTGCCCTTAAAAATGGTGGCAGGGGGGCTTGAACTAAAGGTCATTCGACAAGCTTTAGTTCAAGCATCCTACTGCCATTTTTAAGTGCAGGGACACGGATACACAAGGTGCCGGAGGCTGCTGGAGCGCAGTAATTGCCATGCTCCAGCAGATTCGATTGAGTCTGCTCCAACACGCTGGAATTCCAGCACATCAGAGCAGCCTCCGCACTTGTGAAAGGCTGAAGAAGAAAACAGACTTTCTAAATAAACCATGTTAATATTTGGCTAGTTAAAGGTCCCATTTTGTTACACTTGCCTCAAATCAATGACATAGTTGTTCTCTCTCATAAAACTGTAGTTTACATTTGATTTGTAAACTTAATTTTCGTTCATACCTTTGTAACATTTAGTTCAGCTTATGCATGGATTCAGACAGGCCAACTGAGAAAATCCCAGCTAAGTGAGACTCCAGTCTTTCAAAATCTGCATTTAGGACTCAGGTCCTCAACCCCTAAAAAGAGGCTCGGAGCTCAGTGCAGGAGGCGCTGCATGGAAGGTCCGGGAGCAGACCGATCCTGGTGCTGCACAAAGCAGCCCAGGCCTCCAACCCATAGCAAAAGGTTGAGTCCAGGGAGCCAGACAGTGCTCGGGCCACTGAGCCAGCAGACAGGGCTGAGCCAGAGGCCCCAGAAGCCCTGCATAGAGGAGCCCTGTTCCAGGGGACAGCGCCCCCCCTGAAGCCCACTGCAGGCAAGAGAGCAGCTTGGTGCAGAGGACGAGGGCCACCCTCCAGGCCTGAGAGACATGAGTTGCAGGGAAAAGAGGATTCCCACATGGGAAGGGGAGTACCCACGGTTAGTTAAGGGCTCCTGAAAGTGGAGGTCCTACGGGGAGGGCCCCCCTAAAGTTACCAGCTTCCTTGTAGGGCTTGGGAAACACCCAAGGGCATTGGGGTTTCCCCTTGGGATTAAGTTTATCTTTGGGGTTCTTGCACCATAAGTCGTGTGATGCCATGCCTTACATTTTGTGAACTCTCGTGTTTGTAAATTACTAGATGGGTAGAGTCGGGATCCCCTGTTGCTATTATTTCATCTGTTGTTTATTTGTATTTATTTGTGGCTTATTTATTGTTCACCCATACTTATCTATAGTTTGTTAGCTATCTGTTTATTTTGGGGTTTGTCGGTTTCAGATC